TATATATATATATATATAGTCTTTTACATAAACAATTATATTTTATATAAAAAACGGGTGCGGGTTGGCCGTGTGTGATTTAGGAGCTGGCGAAGCGGTTTCCAATCCTTGCGATACCACACAATATTCCACGCACATTAAGCTGTAGGTGCGTTATAAGTGTGATAATCAATTCTATAGAATAGATGTCGGATGGTAGTTTGCTGCTGACTGGCTTGCCTTTTCTTTGGTCAGTAATTAAAAATTATGGCCGGTGGCATATAGACTTTGCCATCAATATAAATACTATAAAAAACAAACGTTTACGAGCTAAATAAAGGCTATGTGAAAATATTGTTGAGGGTTAGTGGTTTTTCATTTATCTATATAAATATAATGGTATTGTCTGTTGTCTGTCCATGTAACTACTTCACAGGATGTGGACTTATCTTCACCCAAATTGGTATAGAGGTTCATTAGGTCCATGCGGAGTACATACAAATTTTCAGCTTTGCGTTTTGCGGTTTTTATGGGCGTTTTTTACCAATACCTCGCCTCTTGTGAATGGATCTTCACCATATTTGGTAATAAGATTTCTTGGGTCCATGCGGGGGTACATACAAATTTTCAGCTTTGCGTTTTGCGGTTTTTATGGGCGTTTTTTTTACCAATACCTCGCCTCTTGTGAATGGATCTTCACCAAATTTGGTAATAAGATTTCTTGGGTCCATGCGGGGGTACATACAAATTTTCAGTTCCAGATTTTGTGTTTTACAGTTTTCATGAGCGTTTTTTGCGTGTGCTTATTTTTACAATTACATATAAGCAACTTTTCATGTCCTAAGATAACCTTTAATTAATCAAGAATTTACATAACCCCCGTCCAGGGAACAGCTAGTAATAAATATTTTAATTATTGTAATCATACACTGTCTGAAGATGGTCCGCTCCTATGGGCTGAAACGTCACAGTTTTAATTCATTGAGAAAATTTTCCATTGTAAAGCTATTCAGGACAATACATTTTATCACCTGATTGAAGTTTTGTCTTTTAATACTCAAAACTTTACAAATTTACTCACTTATTTCTCTGTCAGTGTAGTTAAATATGTGATAAAAATCATGTTAGGGACAATTCCGATACATTGATGATAACCGAGAAGCGTAACATGCACTAAAAAAAAACACTGGTATTCAACCCTTCTTTTCTTTACTTCCTCCTTTTTTTTATTTGCATATTCCGTGTCTTTCATCTATAGGACCGGCATGGCCAGGTGGTTAGGGCACTCGATTCGCAATCTGCGGGTCGCGGGTTCGAATCCCCAGTGACACCAAACATGCTCGCCCTTTCAGCATGCGCGTGCACTTCAGCGGATGTAAAACTAAAAAGCGAATATATAAATATACTTTAGTAGACATTTTGTACAATGAAATATTAAAAGCCTATCAAGGTTTTTAAAAAGGTCTAACGTTAGGTCGTAGGATAACATTATAAGTATATTTACTGATAGTATTAAGTACGGTAAAGTCTAGCCTTAAGTAAACTAAAGCATAAAACGTACACAAGTTACAGTGTTACTTTATTTGTTTATCGAATATAGACTGTACTTAATAAAGATTTAACTAATGCTAGGACTAAGAGCAGTGGACTTATATCATATGGCCAGTTGTTTATGGAGCTCGACCCGCAATCTGCGGGTCGCGGGTTCGAATCCCCGTCCCACCATACATGTCGCCCTTTCAGCCGTGGGGACGTTATAAGTGACGGTTAATCCCATTATTCGTTGGTAAAAGAGTAGCCCAAGAGTTGGCGGAGGGCGGTGATGAGTAGCTGTCTCCCCTTTGCGCGAAATTCAAAACAAACAAACTTATATCATTTCGGTGTCCGTGGTTAAAATTATTTTGTATTATTCTAGAAACCCTGTATTTAAAGAAGTACTTGCAATAAAGACACTAATTTGACCACAAATGTTTTGTAGTTTTGATAACATAGTCATTCCTTGTACAGGGGACTTGGTTAAGGGCTAATTTAACAACGATGGATTCAACTGAGGAGTCTGACTTTTGCGTTGTCCTCGCGTTAAATTGAAATCAGTTTAAGATATCAGATCATCATTATCAAAAACCAGTGATATAGTAAAATCAATAATTCCTTTGAAAATGATTTGTTAGCGGGTGTGTATTTTACTTTGTTAATTAAACGAGCTGGGTATTTCCATTATACAGAAGTTTCTGTTATGTTTAATTTCTTTAATTGTAGTAGTAATCCTAAATTAGTTAAATCTGAGGGCTTATAACGTTAAAAATCGATGGGCAGAGCACAGATAATCCATTGTGTAGTTTTGTGCTTATTAACTAACAAATCAAATTTCTTAGTTTGTTTACGTGAAAAGTTTCCTTACATAATGCCCCCCCCCCCAGTGGCACAGCGGTATGTTTGCGGACTTACAACTCTAGAAACTGAGTTTCGATACCCGTGGTGGGCATAGCACAGACAGCCCATTGTGTAGCTTTGTGCTTTAGTTCAAACAAACATTACAAAATGCCGACTCAGTGTTATACTAATACATGATACCACGTTCTCAAGAAAGAATGGGTGGTCACTGTTGTGAAACAGTTGAGAATCTTCAAAGAAAACGTCAATACTCTTGGTTTACGCTTGAAAGATGTAGAATGTTTATAAGAATTCATATTAGCTGACAGCTTTTGTCGGTATTTTATTACCTACCATCAGTTGATAGGAGTCGTCGTGGAGAAGCGTCTTGCACCTCACTTTGACCACTTTTCCTCTTCAGAAACAAACCTGTTTTCTAACAAAAGATCTTTGTTATTGACATTGTTGTAATTGGACTCATTCCACAGAAACTCTTATTACATACTTTGTTTTCCACCCTAACGTGGGAGGGTCATTTCACAAAAAGCTTGGAGGGAGGGGAGCAAAGAGAGCTGACCTCGAATGAGCCCCCCAATTTAGCTGGAAGCCCTACGCCAAGGCGCGATTTGCATATTTGTTTTAATCTGGCCTGACTAGAAATCTGTAAAAGAAACCGCCATTTTACGCCCCCCCCCCGTCCTGTTTAGGTAACAACTGTATTACCTGCCCTTCAGGACTAACAGGTAAATGTACGTAGTCTTACACGTACACTATGTGGGCAAAATTATTTCGGAGAAGCAAGACAATCTATAAGGGAAAGAGTTATGGAAATT